AAACTAACTAGTCAAAGGCATTAATGGGGAGAAAGTCATGTATCTCTCTATTCTTAAAGGCCTAAATCATCATAAGTCTGTTAAGACAATGAGCTTTTGAATTATGTCAATGGATTCATGGTTCATACATCACAATTACATCTACACAGACCATGAAATTGTAGAAATACAAGATTGCTAGCTACTTAAAAAATAAGAGTTAAGTATTGGCTTAGAAGATCACACCAGGACTCTACCTTAACATACATTTGTGATTCATTAGAGTAGTTTCACAAAGAGTCATATCTTCATTAGATAATTCTTGTATAGGCTATTTTAATTAAAGTTGACTTTATTTAAGCTTTGTTCTTGCCATGTTCATGTGTTTCCACCCCTCTCTGTTTCCAACTTGTCCATTTTACTAATGATCTTTACAGATATTAATTTTTTTGCATATCTCTCTTAGAGTTCTATTCCTTATTCTCAATAATGACACTTAGAAATTTTTCCATTTCAAGATCTCGAGTGGCGTTTGCAAGTTATCCATGCATATTCTTCTTAGAGAGAAAGAAAGGGATACCACCTCAAGTTTTTGCACTTTTTTTGTGACAACTTTTTTCCCCTTAATGAACAACACCTAATTTAGGGTGGGAAGGAATTTTTGCATTTTCCTTTGATTTTTATTCTTTTTTAAAAAAAATTTTACAAATTGTTTTGCTCATGTTATTTTTGTGGAGGTGATGCTATATTTTTCATATGCATAGACTTGAGAATGATCCTATCTCTCCTCGTGGAGACTAGTTAAATGGCATATTGCTTAACTCAAATGCAATGTGATGATAATTATGCGAACCACATGAGAATTTGAGCCTATTAATATAATTTTCTTTTCATGTGGGTACTATTTATCCCTTGCCTAATCTATAACTTAGCTTGTATCTTATTTGAATTCACATTTTGAGTTCATTTGCTCAATACAAAGATGATCAAGGCATTTATTTTTTCACTTTTAACAACATGTATTCAAAAGCCATCTATGCATGATATTTTATCCTTTGTGTAGCCCCTTTGAGCCTATGCAATATTTCTTTCTTACCCCTTAGCCCATTGAAAATTTATACACATCTCTTACCTTCTTATTTAGGGTACTTTTGCTTTCTAAGAGCAATTAATTTTGGTTGGTCAAGTTGATGTACACTCTTACAATTGTTGAGGCTTCCAAGTTGATGTTGCTCTTTTTGATTGGATCAAGCTTTGAAAAGTGAAAAAAAAAAGAAATAGTTGAAAGAAAAGAAAAGAAGCTGAAAAGAAAAAGAAAAAGAAAACAAAGAGCAAGTAAGCGAAAGAAAGAAAGAAAGAAAGAAAGAAAATACCAAGAAAAGGTTAAAAGGCTTCCTTTAGTTCCTCATTTATACATGTTACTTGATTCCAACAAGGCTTTTAGGGTGTACATTTGCTTGACTCCATAATTTCCTTTTATTGCTCTTAGTTATCTTGAATATCCACTTTGACTTTTGAATAACCTTCTTTTTTTCATTAGCCTTCATTTGTACCCTAAGCCCATATTACAACCAAATAAAAGTCCCCTGTGATCTTTATTGGCATTTGACTTTTTGACTGGTGGAGACCTTAAATTATTGCCAAGCTTATGGAAAAAGAATTGGATAATTTGGACAGAGAAAGCAAACACTATCTCCTAAACACTGAATGATAAGGGTAAACACTATATCTGGTAAGAGAAATCATTATAGCATTGTACTCTTGTTAAGCTTTTTACCATGGCATTAGTTAACAAAAGGTGGAGATATGATTTAGATAGCAGTGCATGATGGATATATTTTTTTATCCTCTATATTGTGACATGGGCCTTGTCTTCTGTGATTATCTTCTCGAGGATTTATGACTTGTTTTACTTTTTTTTTAATCTTTCCTTGAAGGACAAAGGATGGGTGTGACACATCATCATTTTGCACTTATATTAGAATTATTTTCGAGATTTCTTGGCCAAATGCCTTGTTAGGCTTTTCTTGATTTATTCAAGTACATTCTTGAGTGTGTGAATTTGAGGCAAGTCTCCATTTCAATCCTTTACTACTTCTAACATAGTATGAGGACCTTTTTTCAATCCTATCACTTCACATCACACCATCCCCTCTATTTGCCATTCGAGAAAGGAAACCTAAAGTGGAAAGCATCTTTTAATTCTTTCATTTCCTTTCCAAGTTGTGTGCCAAATAATACATGACCATTGGCATTGCCCGATGAAGTCACAACATAGGTTTTTTAGCTATGCAAGTGCTAAAGATGAAGATATAAAAAGAGATTGTCAAGCTAGGTAGATCATTTTGGGGCAAGTAAAAATGTCTTAAAATAAGCCAAAAAAAAAAATCTTCAAATATTCAAGACATGCTTACTCCTTAAAAGCTCATTCTTGTATCTGGATTGTGGTAACAAACCGAATAATAAATTTTTCCAATTGCAAGTAGTTGAGAAAATACTATGTTTCACAAACTACTCTCATGCATCAAGTATTACTTAATAGAGAGACATAACATATCATTCTCAATGCATCATGCATCAAGCATTTTTTTGAGTACATACCTTATATGTTTGAAAACTTTCCATTAGAAGAGTGATCTTGCATTTGTGGCTAAACCTTGTGTCATGCAAAAGGTAAGTTGCTAGCCTAAAGGCAAATTGGAATTTGGTTCTCCAACAAATAACAAAAAAAAAGAGGCTCCAAATATAATTGTATCATTCATTGCATTAAAAAAACATATGCTAGACTGGGACAGACATATAGTTCAAGCTTCTGAATTAAAGGTTTGTATTAGTTATATCACATCTAATGTGATCATTTTACACTTCTTGAATCTTTGGGGCTCATCTTGATGAGCTAGTCAACCCCTTTCAAAGCCCTGTAATAGTAGGCACCTCGAAGCCCAATAACGACTGGAAACCCTTTCAAAGTCCTGTAATGACAGGTACCCTAAACCCCAGTAACGACTGGCACCTTATTCAAAGCCTTATAATGGATAGCACCCCTTTCAAAGCCTTATAACGATAGGCACCCCTAAGTCCAATAATGGCTGGCACCCCTTTCAAAGCCCCGTAATGACATATTACTTTTCTTTGACCCACATTTATCTATTGACTTGAGAACTTATGCCCAAAGTTTTGGATACTTTTGTCCCAAAAGATTTGTATTTATTTTAGGGTAAAATGATAACTTGACCCTTAATTATAGACTCAAGAGCATTTTGGACTCTAAACTCATTTTTGGTACATTTTCATTCCTAAACATTTTAAAAAGAAAACTCATTTTCATTCCCTAAATTATACATTCACTATACCATTGACCATTAGTTAATAAAAAAAATTAAAGGAAAAAACCTCAAAATTACAGAAAGTGACCAAAAGAATAATAGAAAAGGACACAATTGTAAATTTTATTTTTGTCCTTTTTGTGATTCTATTAGTTATTTTCTATAATTTTTAAGGCCAGCTCTTTTTCAGTAATATTTTTCTAATCAATTAATAATCAAAGTTAATGGAACAGCGAGGAAATTGCCACAATTTTAAATATTTAGAAGTGAAAATAAAAAAAATTAATTTAGAGTCCTAGATTCTCTTGGATCTATAATTTGAAGCTGAATTGCCATTTTATCTTTATTTTAATATATACAACAGTTGGTATTTAACAATAATATGATTAATTTTTCAGATAATATCCACCTTATTCAGGAATATTCATATATCACACGGCAGTTTAAGAAGTGACAAACCGTATGGACCACGCAAAACCTTTGGAAGTTGTGGCTTCTAGTTCTTTCATTTGTTTGTGACAATTATATTACAATTAATTTTGCCCTTTGAAGCGAGAATTGAATCTTCAAGCGGTTATCTTTACAATGCGCCGAAATTGTTAAAATGACTAATTTTCTCCATATTATTTCTTTTCTTATATGAAAGAGGAGAATATTGTCCGCTTCTTTTTCCCCCCTCTATTTCATCTTCACTTCGCATCTTAACTTTTACATTAAATTTAAATGGCTAATATGTAATGTTTTATAAAACTATCATGAAAATATCAATAAACCAATAGATATATAAACAAAGGATGTTTGCTTTTGTAAAACTCATATTTACATTAGTGCTTAATTATTTATTCTAGCCCAAATTAAGTGACCCCTGGCTTTTGATCCGTAATTAAAAATATTAATGTTTTGACAATATATATATATATATATATAATGACAATTTATGGAAGTGACAAGTGACTAAAGAATTAGACCACATATTTTTACACATACTTGCTACCTTCATGTTTTGTCATGGAAGAGGGCAAAAACCACTCAATTTAATTGACCAAAAAAAAAATACTCAATTTAATTAATAATGCTTTGATGAACAGTCAAGAAGTGATGAATAATAATTATAAACGAATTAGACAATATACTTTTGGAAACGAATTGGGTCAATAACTTTTGGAATTTAAAAAATGAATAATTACAAATAAATTGAACCGCATATTTTTGGAATATCAGTTGCTTCAAGTTTTGGTCATTTACTTGTGACAATATGATTTTGCAGCTATATACATATACATACATATATGTATATGCATATGTATATTCATGTTCATATATATGATTTTTCAAAGTGAAGTGAGAGTTGAATGTTCAAGCATTAATTGGGATTAGCTATCCAATAGCACAAGGTTATGACGAATATCAAATCACTTTCCTTGGACCCATGTTAAAATTGATGTAAACTCAAGGACTTGTATTATTAACTTTGAAGTAATATCCTCCCAATTTTGTTAAAGAATTAAATATCGTCCCATATTAAAGGGCCTCTCGTGTAACACGAGTCGTGTTTCTACGAAACTTTGATAAGTCATGGCAAGAAATTAACCAAAAAAAAAACTGTGGAGTAATGTCCAGTGGGTATCATAGTCACACGTTGGCGAAAACATTTCCTTAAAGTTAAGTCATTTTCTTGGATGGATGCAAGTCACTATAGTTGGGCAATTTGGCCACAATTTCTTTGAAAGAGTACAAAGACCAGAGAGAGCAAAAGTCATGGCCGCCTGTATCAATCTTCTTGTTTGTAGGATTTGAGTGCCTTGGTGACTGATCTGCTTCTCTTAATGGAGTAGCTATGGCGGCCATCGCATCAAAAATCTTCTTTTTGCTAGTGGCATGTTTTATATTTGGAAGAGCTGAAACAGTATTCGCTGAGTATATAACACTGAACTCCACTCTTTTCCCTAATATTCATCCCACTTCATGGCTTTCACAATCCGGTCGGTTTGCATTTGGCTTTTATCAACAATCTGGCTATGGCTTCAAAGTCGGAATTTGGCTGACTGGTGCGGAGAAAAAAATTGTATGGACTGCCCATCGTGATGATCCCCCTGTATCCTCTAAAGCAAGGCTTCAACTAACCATGAAAGGTCTTCTCTTGCAAACAGGTCAAAGGAAAGACAAGCTTATTGATCACAGTAACAATCAAATAGCTGTTTCCTTTGCCTCCATGCTTGATACTGGTAACTTCGTACTGTACGACAAAAACTCCAAGATGCTTTGGCAGAGTTTCAATTGCCCTACCGATACCATGTTAGGGGGTCAAAATCTACATCATGGGGATCAATTGCTCTCTAGCTCATCAGACACTAACCAATCATCAGGAAGATTTCAGCTCTTGATGCAGAACGACGGAAACCTTGTTTTGTATCCAGCATATTCAGCTAGTACAGCATCAGATGCCTATTGGGCCTCAGGTTCTTATTTTGATAGAACTAAAGTCAATTATTATTATCTTTATCTCAACAAGACAGGTCCTCGACCTCTGCGTGTCATAGATGGCAATAATTCCAACAGGGCTGCAATTTGGATAGCACATGATTGGTTAACTTTAGATAGTTCCCATCCTTCTTCCAACACCATTATTTATCGAGCAACTGTTGATCCTGATGGAATTTTTCGACTCTATGCTCATTTTGATGATGAAAGTGGCAAGCGTCAAGTTAGAAATTTGTGGTCAGCACTGGATAATCTGTGCAGCGTGAAGACGTTCTGTGGATTCAATAGCTATTGCACCTATAATGACAATCAACCCTACTGCGAGTGTCTTCCCGGAAATGACTTTATAGATCCAAGCAAGAAAAATCTTGGTTGCAAAACGAACTTCATAAAACCAGAATGTCAAGGTGGAAAAGAAAATGAAGCCTTGTATAAGATGAATAAATTGGGTGGGATGACCTTGAGTGGTATTCCTTATGCCGTGGAGATTGTTGAAGTCCGTGATGATTGCCGATCTTCTTGCTTGGAAGACTGCTATTGTGGAGCTGCGCTTTATGATGAGAGCAACAGGAATTGCGAGAAACAAGAGCTTCCATTAAGATATGTCATAAGAAAAATGGAAGAAGGGTCTTCCTCTTCCATATTATACTTAAAGGTGGGACTTAACAGCAGCCTCAAAAGCGGGAAGGACAAACCTCCACCTGAGCCAAAACCCATCACAAGAACAAGTAAAAAAGCCATTGTGTTGATTTTTATTATGATCTTCGGGTTTGCTATTATTTTGTGTTTTGTCGTTGCAACCTCTAGCCTTCTAATTTACAGGATTGGAGCTTTAAGTTACAAGAGGTTGCTAGGGATGGGAGATTTTGGTTTGAATGAAGGGGTTACTCTGAGGGTATTTTCATACAATGAGTTGAGAAAAGCAACAAATGGTTTTAGACAAGAGTTGGGTAAGGGTTCCTTTGGATCAGTTTACAAAGGAACTTTACACAAAGGAAGAAAGATGATTGCTGTGAAAAGACTAGAGAAGTTGATTGAAGAAGGTGAGAGAGAATTTCAAGCTGAAATGCAAGCCATTGGAAAAACCCACCATAGAAACCTAGTTCGCTTGATGGGATATTGTGCTGAGGGATCAAAAAGACTTCTAGTTTATGAGTTCATGAGCAATGGTTCCCTTGGAAATTTTATCTTTGGGGACAGCAGTTTACATCCAAATTGGGATCAGAAAAAAAGAATAGCACTGGACATTGCAAGAGGATTATTGTATCTGCATGAAGAGTGCGAGGCTCCTATCATTCATTGTGATATAAAGCCTCAAAATATTTTGATGGATGAGTTCTTGGTAGCTAAAATCTCAGATTTTGGCCTAGCAAAACTTCTAGTACCAGATCAAACAAGAACCTTCACTCAGGTCCGAGGGACAAGAGGATATGTAGCTCCAGAATGGAATAAGAACACTCCAATAACAGTGAAAGCGGATGTTTATAGCTATGGAATTATGCTTTTGGAAATTGTATTTTGTAGAAGAAGCATAGTGGTGAACACAATGAATCCAGAGCAAATTGTTTTGTCCAATTGGGTGTACAAGTGTTTTGTTCGGCGTGAGTTAAGCAAGCTGGTTCTTGGGGAAGAGGTGGACCAGACATTGTTAGAGAATATGGTGAAGGTGGGATTATGGTGTATTCAAGATGAACCATTTCTTCGACCATCAATGAAGTGCGTGGTGTTGATGCTTGAAGGAGTTACTGATGTGGCCATTCCTCCTTGTCCATCGTCTGCTAATTGTATGTGACATCACTACTTTGCTCGAAGGACTTGCTTTGTTTTAGTTGTTATGTGTTTCTGCCTAATTTTATTTTCTAATTTACGCATGCATGCTTGTAGCTACAAATAAAAGAATCTAAAGGTAATGTTTTGTTTTAATTTCTCATCAATATCAGCCTGTTATGTACGCAAAATTAGTTTATGCATCTCATGTATTAAAATCTGGATATAGATACTTCATGTTGTTGATGTTTTGCTTTGAAGAAAGAAGTGATAGGAAATTAGTTACCCTTCCAATTCACAATTTTTAAATTTACACCAAAAAAAATTATATTGCTTTCATTTAATTTCTCTTCATAATTTATAAAAATAATTAGTTTAAGGGCTAAACTGACATTTGGTTTGTAACATAATTAAAATGAATTTTTCAAACAATAGCCCACCTAATTCATTTAGTAATGTTTTGATAGACTAGAAATGTTCATATAAAACACGTCAGTTTAAGGAATGACAACCCATGGACCATAAGACCTTTGGAATTTGTTGGTTCTAGTTCTTTCAATTATTTGTGACAATTACAATAAATTTTGTGCTATGAACAGAATTTAATCTTCAAGAGGTTTTCTTTGCAATGCGTCAAAAAAATATTAAGTGATAAGCGAATCGAAAGTAATTCCAGCAACAACAATTGCTCAACAAAGTGACATACCTCAACAAGCTACAGAGTGACCAACAAAAGTAGAGAGGCACAACAAATGATTAAGAGAATAGAGGTCAAAGCAAATAGCTCGGAGAAGAAGATGTGGTGGTTTCCGTGAGCAAGTACCATTGTCAGGACTTGAAACCATAAAGAGAAGTTCTTCAAATGAAGCTATAAGCTTCGACCAGTGAAGGGAGTAGATTAGAGATAGATCAGCTATGATGGAAGGAAATGGAGATCACGAATGAAGGGAATGAAATGGAAGATGCAGATGGCGAGTTGTAAACTACTGTGAGTGCAAAGTTGAGCTACAGTAGAGGGAATGATGGTGAATGCGAGTGGGTTAGAGGAGAAATAGGGGGTGGCTGATGGTAGCTATGGAGCCGAGAGTCAGAAAATGCCGTGGCTCGAACGAAAATGGCAGAAATGAGTCAATCTCTAGATCTAAATGCTGGTGATTGGAACAGGGATTGGAGAAGAAGGTTGTAGCAGAAGGAGGAGGAAGGGTGAGTGAATATGGAGAGGAAGGCTTAAGGATGGCAGACGATGAGAACAAAGTGATGTAGCAGCTTACGGCGAGGATGAAGGCTATGGCACGAACAAAAATGGCAGAGAAAGAGGAAATGAAGGAGAAGAAGTGGGGTATGTCGGTGACTATGGAGGATAACTGGAGAGAGATCAAGCGAGATAGAATGGTGACGGCAAGGGACGCCGTGGGTGCTAGCGATAGAGGAGCAAGGATGCGACGGTGAATGGGAGTGAGATGCAGGGGGTGTAAAGGAAAGGACAAAACAGGACGGGGAAATAGGAGAAAGTGAACTCGAGTTGAGGTTAGATCTGGTCTTTTTTTGGGTCAAAATTAATGAGTTTTTTTAGAAGAGAACCAAATGCAGCACTGAAAAAAGAAGTGGGAAAACATATTTATTAAAATTATATAATAATTTTTTTAAAAAAATAACCTAAAATTTCTTTTTTAAAAACAGGTCCAGAGAAGATGAAAGTTACAACTTCAAATTTAAGCCTGAAATGAAAGTCACAACTTTGATCTTCTCTAGAACCCCAAAGTTGTGAGCCCAAAATCATGACTTCTGTCAGAATTTTCTTGACAGCAAAATTCTACAGTACTCTATTTTTAAAAATATGATTTGTTCACCCCTTAAAACTTCTTCCAAGAATTTTATTCACTCCAAAATCAATCTCTAACCATCATTCATCAACCATATACAATTTTCTTCAATTAAAATGTAATCAACCCCCAAAAAGAACCATTTTTTATGGGAATCAAACCACAAAAATTTGCATTCACTTCAATAAGCTCAAAATAATTGCCAAGACAAGTTTATAAGCATAAAAACAACTTAAATAGCATGACTTCTCTGAAATTTTCCTTTCTTTTGTGCTCTTTTGTTCTTTGGCCACATTTCTTGCTTATCCAAAGGGTTATACTTCCTCATATCTTCTTGTTAACCTACAAAAGAGACAAGATCACACATAACTTCACCAAAACAACTAAACTGCAAAAGAAAAATCAAAATAAAAGGTTTAGTGTAACATCCCGAAATTTTAAAACTCGAATTTATTTTAAAAAATAAAATAAAATATGTATAATTAAATTAAAATTAAGAATAATTTGATAGAGGTCCAAAGTTTGAATTTTTCTAAGCAAAAGTTGGGTTTTATTTTATTTTTAACTATGAAAAAAATTACCAAAGTTGACCCAGGCTTTTATGCTATAATAAAATATATTAGGCCCTTTCTTGTAATTTTCTCCAAAGTGTTAGATTAGTTTTTAAAAAGAAATAGGATGCAAAAAAAAAATATAACAAAGAACTAAGGAAAAAAGAAATGCATGGGCGAGAGTGAGAGGAAGAACAGAGGAGGAAGAGAAGGACTTAGGTTCAAATCTGGAAGGATTTGCGACTATTGTAGGCTCGGCTATGCGGTAGATAAACTCCTTACTTCAATCCTCTTCCCTTCCTCTTTGTTTTCCTCAATTTTGGAAAATGAAATTTTTGAAATTTGATCCAAAAGGCTTTTTTTTTATAAGCTTTAGTTTCCTTGGATCCTTGGGAGGTTGTTTTGAGTTTCTACATGATGTCTTAATGTTTTGATCAAGTAATTGGATGAAAAATGGAGTTTTAGGGCAAAAGTTAAACCCTAAGAGGTTGGATTTTGCTCTTCATATTGGTTTAAGTCTATTGATTTAGTTATAATTTTGCTATTTGAGCCCAATAAGATTTAAATTAAGGTTTGGTTTTCATTATAAGGGCTAATGGTGAAAGTTAGTGATACTAAGTAAAGGTTTTTAATTGATTAAAAATTATATAAATTGGAAATTGGCCTAGTGGTGGCTAATAAATGGTTTTGATGGTTAAGTGATATTATGTAAATGGTTGGTTTAATATATGCACCATGAGATAGATTGTAGCTCATTGACCCAAGTTGTGTGGTATGAGTTATATTTTTCTTTTATACTATTTGCCATGATAAGTGATGTGGATCACTTATATGTTGTAGGGATTGTTGGTAGAATTTTTTTAAAAGTTAAAGGACAAGTCAAGTCATATTTTTGTTCAAGGGGAACCCTTTTGGTACAAAGAGGTTGAGGTAATAGGGGAATTTATATTTCTTATTGTTTTGCTTAGCCATTTTTGGGTAGATAATATTATCTAGCATGCATTACATGTTTTAAACAATTGAATGCAAATGAAATGTGTTTTAGAAGGGTTTATGGGGTATTGCTTTAATGATAATGCATCTATATTTATTATCTATTTAATAATGATGTTACTTGTGGAAATAAGATTATTAGCATGCATTGTGATCATAAAAAAATGAGGAGTTACACTTAGAGAAGTACAACTAGGTTTGGTACCTTAGATAGGCTAAGGAACCACTTAAGGGATGAATTATAAGTATTATACTACCTTGAGTGTTGAAGTGGTCAATACTCAGGAAAAGTAGAAAAAGGGTAGGAGGCATGATCTCGATGAGAGTTCACTAATGGGGAGATGTGGTCTTGTGATATTCTATGGCTCACTGTCAATACTCAGTGTTGCCTTTCGTATTGTGGGCTCAGTACACTAAAGTGGTTAGTGGATTGAATGTTCGAAACCTCTCAATGGGGGAGGGAATCCCACATATGAAGTGTGAAGTTAAGTGCCTAGGCCAAGGTAGCCTTCCCATGAAGAGTAAGTTAGGCTAGCTTTAGGAGGAAGTTAGCTTCAATTGCTCAGGATTCACATCGAAGAGGCACAAGCGGTTCGGTGGATTAGATCATGCCTTGGTTTATATTTTCTACCTGTAAAGGTACAGTGGGTGTAAGGTTTATCTACAAGCTAAAGAGTGCCAATGGGCATTCTGTTGGTCAAAAAGGTCATATCAACCTATCTCATACATTCAAGCATTTTAATTAGTTAATTATATATTATTTTGAATCTATTATTTATTTACTTGACTATGGCTTTCCTTGTAATAAGGAATATTGATTTCTCTATTACTGAGACTGTGGTTATCTCACCCCTTTCTTTACAATATTTACAGGTCTAAGCAAAGGATCCAGTAGTGGACGGGAAAAGAGCCGAGCTAGGGGTTTGCTTGTGGGTTGTAAAGATCTACAACCCTTTCTTTTGAGCAAGTATATTATAATGTATTTAGGTTAGGGTGCCAGTAGGATGTGACTATACATATATGTGCATATGTATAGATTGTGTGCTTGTGTATGAATTTTTGTCGCTTGTAATCTTGTGTTTAGGAAACTTGGTTATGGTATGTGGTTTTAATGAATTCATTTGATAGACCGAGTTTTCACTACAAGCAAATGTTTATTTTAGTGTATATATATGAATATGTGTGATTCTACACGCAATTGCAAAGTGGTTGCATTGCGAATTGTATGCTAAGGGCAAACATACACCTTGGATAGAGAGAGTAGGAGCGTGGGCTCCACGAGGAGCCTTGAGCCAAGTGAAAATGTTTTGCATGTGTATTTATATAAATACATGGTATTTAGATTGATTTTTGATCACTCTTGTATGATTTGTGCATTTTGGGAGTTTAGGGTTCATTTTGGGAAATGGCACCCGAGTGGTCAAATTTTGATGTATGGGGGTTTTGCATTATTTGAATGTTCTATTAGGTACTTTTAGTCCTATTTGACGCATCCAAAGTGTTCCTACAAGTTTGTGACCCTTAGGATGAGATTTGGATAATTTTAAAAATGATTTTCACTAAAAAATTGCACTTTTGTATCCAAGTGTTTAAATCTCAATCCGACCGTTGGATATCTCTAAAATTTAGGTCACAAGTAAAAAATTTTATAAGCTTTGTGTGGGATTTAGAATCACATCGATCGGACACCAGATTGAGAAACGGCGTGCTCTAAAATTTGGTCCGAAGGTGCTGTCATGACAGCAACAAGATTGATGTTGGGACATGCATGAATTTTGATCCAATTATTGGATCTTTTTAAAATTTGGTACACTTGTAGTACCCTTTGAATGTGATGTGTGGGCTCTAGAATTGCTCTGATCATAGGTTGGATGATGAAATGATGCACTCTAGAAGTTAGTCCGGAGGTGTTGTCATGACAGCTAAAAAGACCAAACTTGTAATATGTCCAATTTTTAATCTGACCGTTACATCTTCTTGAAATTTGGTGTACTACTAGTAATCATTAAAAATGATATGTGAACTTTAAAATCACTTTAATCAGAGGTCAAATTGCAGAATGGAACCTCCCAGAAGTTGGCCCGAGAGGGCTATCATGACAGTAATTTAATGTTGTTATGACAGCATCTTTTTACCCCACTTTTTTCTAGCTTGCTTCCATGCGCTATAGGTAAAGCCTATAAAATTTTTTTAAAGGCTTTAAATGTTTATTTTTTGATGATGTATTTGTTTATTGATTTAAATGATTTGTTTCCTAAGTTGGTTTTAGGATCAACTCCTTAACTACACTTAATTTATTTGAATTGTGTGATTTTTGGATAACACTCGGGGCAAGTGTTACATTTGAGTTTTGGATAACACTCGGGGCAAATGTTACATTTAGAGCTTGGGTTGTCTCCTAAGTAGTGCTTGTTTTATAGTCATTCAGCTTGACTCTTCTCTTATTCAAGAGGCATCAGATAAGGGCAAAGTGATTACTTCAGGGTCTACCTTACCACCTCAGTAATGCTTCAATTGTTGCCCATCAATTTTAAATCTTTCTCTTTCAATGCTCTCTAGCTCAACAGTACTATGAAGGAATGCTTGGACCACATTGAACGGTCCAGACCATCTAGACTTGAGTTTGTCAGGAAATAATCTCAATATAAAATTGTATAAGAGTACTTTTTAGCCTGGCTCAAATGCTTTGCATAGAATTTTCTTGTCATGCCATCTCTTTGTCTTCTCCTTGTATTGCCTAGAATTCTCATAGGCATTGAACCGAAATTCATTAAGTTTATTCAATTGGAGAAGTCTCTTTTCAGCCACGGCCTTAAAATCAAAGTTAAGCTTTTGGATAGCCCAATAAGCACCATGTTCTAGCTCTACGGGTAGATGACATGCTTTCCCAAAAGCTAATTAGTATGGAGACATGCCGATAGGAGTTTTGTAAGCCATTTGATAAGCCCACAATGCATCATCGAGTTTAATGGACCAATCCTTTCTTGTCACTCATATTGTCTTCTCAAGTATCTTCTTGATTTCTCGATTAGAAATCTCAGCTTGCCCGTTAGTTTGAGGATGGTAGGCAAGTGCAACCTTATACTTGACACCATATTTCTTCAAGGGAGATTGAAATTGGTTGTTGCAAAAATGAGTACCATCATCACTCATAATGGTTCTTAGTGTTCCAAAGCAGGTGAAAATATGCTTCTTTAAGAACTTGAGCATCACTTTAGCATCATTAGTAGGAAATGCCGCCGCTTTGACCCATTTTGAGACATAATCTACAGCAACAAGGATATATTGATTGTTAAAAGACATAGAAAATGGTCCTATGAAGTCTATGCCCTACACATCAAACAGTTCTACTTCAAGCATGTTGTTGAGCGGCATTTTATTCCTTTTAAAGATGTTACCCATCCTTTGGCACCTATCACACTTTAAAACAAAGTCATATGCATCCTTGAATAAAGAGGGCCAATAGAAATCACTTTGTAAGATTTTAGATGCTGTCTTGTCACCCCCGAAGTGGCCT